TAAACAGTTTTGCAAGACTGCTCCAGGAAGATTTATCTACTCTGGTAAGTCCTACTGCATTGCTACCTAGCCAAGAAAAAACAGCTGTTTCTTACATGTAGTTTTTGTTTTTATCGTTATGTCAGTTTCAGCTAAAGGTTGCTAATACATGTAGATTGTAGATTTATTAGAAACCTGAAAGATTCCAAGACTAAGGTGACTTTTTTCGGTCAGTCAGTCAGTCAACCAAGGAAACAACACGCCTTTTTCTTGTAAGAATTCCCCACATTGTAGGGCTGCAGTGGGCTCAGTAATGACTATAGGTTTATCAACTAGTACTGTAATAACAAAAGGTTACGGAGTGCAGGCGACAATGATCGAAGGTCAAAACGCTTTTGCTCCATTGTAGTGCTTTGCGTAGGTTTCAAGTGATAGATGGTCAACACATGCGCTCAGATTACAAGTGATAGAAGGTCCAAACGCGCGCGATCAAATTGGGCTCTGTGCATTCCATTCATTCTTAGTGGAAGTCAAAACGAATGTTGGCTACATAACATGCTCCTCATGTCGCCTGCAATAAACAGATGCTTGCACTCTTGAAACCAGTTTGATGAGAGAAAACAAGATCGATTAGTCCAGAAGTTTGGGCTTCAGTGACTTCGAAGGCTTGACTTGATTCAGGCAGAATTAAGCTATTCTGCTGGCAGGATCTGTATTCACCAATGGTTGATAGAGTGATGTGGAAAGAAAGCGTTTGAGGAGACTCAGCGAAGGCCAGTTAAAGGATGATGATGGTAGTCAATTAGTCTACTGTCACTATCAGATTGTTCTTTTGTTAACTTTTTTTTCAGCCCTTTGTGAGCCTACAATTGACTATGGATTCCAGAGACTATCAAAAATTATCCCAAGGCATCCAGGTGATCCTGAAAAATTACCAAAGGTGAGACGATTTTGTTGTGTACGGTATTTGCTTTGCTGTTAGACATGACCTTGACTAACGTCCATGTTATAAGTAGAAAATAAAATTCAGTTTACTTAAGGGAGAGCATTTTGTTATAGCTATTGCAAGGTGAGTATATCTGGATTTGTTTTTACTTGTTCACTGAACAAATGTCGCTATTTAATACTGAGGGTGTGGGCATGTGATCTTTCACTAGCGAGGCGTAGCCAGCTTTTCGACTAGTTGTAGGCATGGCTGACTTTCATTTCCACATATCCTGAAAATTGCACGTATGACTAGTACACACTGACCTCACCAACACTTTGAGCTCTTAAGCTTTGTAGCACGCCCCATCAAACGGTAGAGTGGTTACAAGCCGTAGGGTGATCAAAACTAAAATTTGGTGGCCCCTGGCCTACAGGTCTATGGGGTAGCTACTCCCCTGACTACTGCGCAGGCTATCATCCCTATAGCAGGGTTTTTGAAGGAATGTTTTGCAATCTCTTAGTTCTAATTCCAAATTTCCTGCTTATTTTGTAGGAAATAATTTTGAAGAGAGCCGCCGACCTGGCCGAGGCTGTTTGCTACAATATTCCGCGCACCCCAACCCAGCTTCATGGCTCTCAATACCCAGCGTCTGGGGGTCCCCCACCTACCACGGCAAGCGGTACACATTCAATGATGATTGGACAACACTTCACCGCCATCACCCCTGACGGGATACCTAATGGAGGTACCTACGTGGCTATTGCTAACCCGGAAGGTCCCTCTGTCGTTTACGGCAGCTCAGGCCATGGAAACCAGCAGCAGAGAATAGCAGGTTCTACTGATGTAAACAATAATGAGGTCACCATATCCACAACAGGTACTTTTTTAAAAATTATTTTATCCCGTTAGTGCCAAGTGTGGCCAAGGGCAAAGTTCATCAAAAATTCCCAAATTTCGTTTTGCAAAATTTTGGAAACAAGTAGCACTATTTGGAAGAACAGGCAGAGAGGTTTGATTTGAATTTTCACATCATAGGATTTTGTCCACAGACTCAATAGTTGGAACTACCTGAAGGGACTCCAACATTCACTAGCAGTGAAAGGGTTAAATGTTAGATTCATTCCGTCAGTTGTGTTTTACTTTGACGCCAATCAGTTATTTTCTCCAGAGATAGCAGTGCCTACTCGTTAGAACGTGTTTTTGTATCATCTAATTTCCTTGTCTTAAAATATGCGCCCACACGGGCAATGGATGATGCGAGGGAAGAAGTGAAGTCGTTCCTGGCCTACCATCTGGGTTACCTGACCGAAATTAATTGACCGTGCGGGTATGTTTTAAGTCTTGCGGTAGTCGGTGATCATGCCCTCCCCATGTCTGTGTTATGACTAGGACTAGGCATCGTCGGACACCTGCGAATTAAGCTCGATTCTCAGCCACTGGTCGGGAAAACAAGCTCGGGTTCCTCCCTTCTCCGTGAAAAGACCGAACTCGGGAGAGCGGAGGAACTCAAGTCTAACTGCTTCCCCGTCATCGCTGAGGGTCAGCGTTACCAAAGTGACCAGGCCAGAACTGTTTTCCTCTTCAACAGTATAGGATGATGACTTTATCGCTGAGGATATTTTCAAACACTGTCAATCAGTTTTCACGGTCCAATCCGCCACTTTAGGGAGCTTATTAAAGTAACAACGTGGCGACGGCAACGAGAACGGAAAAATAAAAAGATTTAGATAAGCAAAACAACAACTTTGCACGAGCATCGCGCTTTTGTGTACATTTCTTTGCCGTCGTTGCCCGAATAGGACGGGAAAGTACCTAACTTCACGTTTTGTAGAGGACGGGTACACAAGACAATTACATTCTTCTTCTTTTCCTGAACTTCGATACAGTCCTTTAGAATTCAACTCCAGACAAAATAAAAAAATTCGCCAACATTTCGTGAACTGTACGAGATGAAAGAAGCGCGATAAAGTTTGAAGCGGCACGAATTCTTTTGTTAAGTGACCTTTTCGTAGCCGTCACCGTCGTTGTTGTTCAACCCTTTAAACCCAAAGATCAAAATCAGAATTCTCATTTGTCGCCTCTATTCATTTATTATAGAAGTAGTGGGGAGAAGGTCGGTAAAATATCAAGCAAATACATCTTGTGTGATCGTGCCCGTAATTCTTATGACCTGTGTTTGATATAAAAGAAAAGCATTGCAATTACAAGGAGAAATTTGATGCTGATCACTCTCAGGGTTGAAAGGGTTTAGCTCCCTTTTAGAAAGGAGAAGAAAACTTGGTCGAGTTAACTTTTGCAAAGACGTCTGGGAAAAAATTGGCCAATAGCTGACCGGCTCGTCCCCAGTAACGATCCCAGAAAACTAGCGCGCTTTCGATATATTAAGATTCTAACATGACTCCGAGGCTTTCTGGTCATTTTTCTATACTGGTTTGGTTTTCTTTGTTCTCAAGTCTCTTCTGGGAATTGCGAGGCAATGGAGTCTGGAGAAATTTTCAATTTTGACCCTAAAGCCTCGGAGTCATGTTAGATTTTTACTATTCGCCACCTGCACATCTCCCATAATGCACCTTATTTGCCCCCCAAATTTTGTATAACCTTTGTTTTTCATTTCTCCGGGGTATTACAGCCGTCCCAAGAGAAATTGAAAAACAATGCTTACGCAAAATTTCTGGGGGCAAATAAGGTGCATTATGGGAAATGTGGAAATGCTTTATATCGAACGCGGGCATTTACGGGACACATTTCGATTCCAATTCTCATCTCTTTTCTTAAGTGGCCTATAATGGTGTGAGGTCCCAGGGCTCAGTTTGAGGCGTCGTTTTATTGTTTTCTCATGCTTTAGAAAGTAACACAACCACGTCAAGACACGTGAACATGCCGCCGCCAGGTTACCCACACAGTAGCTCATTACCAACTGAAGCGGGGCATGTTGTATCACCACCAAACTCTGAAGTCCAAGTCGCTCCCGGCACTGTTATTTCTATGTCAAGTGCAGCAAATGGCATCAATGGATTCTCCACCAGTCTTCCTCCATCAATTACTCTGCACAACATGGCTGTTCCTTCCTCGCCTGGCTTCCTTAATGGTGCAGCATGTAAGTCGTATAAAGCTTAACGGTTGGAAGGATAAAAATTATTGTCGATACAATTTGATATCAGTCGAGATATATTAATCGTTTAGCGTAGTTGACAAATAAAACGAGGAATATTCACAATATTCCAAGCACTTTATTGCTTCCCGATATCGTTTTCGGCGCAGGCATTATTGTAACTACATGTGCACTCGCCAAAGAAACATTGGTAGCCATATTGGTAGCCATATACGCCAGCAAAGAAAACTTGTTGGGGGAAACCTGCCAGTATTAATGGGTCTTCGAAAAGCCCAGCGCTTAAAACGTCATCTTTCATATCGCTTTACGGTTACCAAGCGGCACTAAATGCTGACTTGTCTGTGAAAACCAGCGCTTTTTTCAGATTTGATTTGAAATCTTGAAATTGACCTTTTCTCTTGTCACCTAAAACTTATGAGTCCTTTAATATCTGTGTTGCAGTTGTGCCACAGTCGCCGTCCCTGCCACCCACCCCCAACAGTGTACCGCCCAATGCAAATGCAGGGATGTTTGCCTTTCCGTCCAACATGATCCAAGCTGTGAAGGAAAAGAGTGCGTTTAATCCTGTTATGAGACCGCCCAATGTGTCAGAGGGAAACCCATCCTCTGGTTCCCATAGTAACTCCGTGCAAGGTTAGCTACCAAAACTAGAAATAACCAAAGGTTAGGGAGTGCGGGCGAAACGATCGAAGGTCAAACGCTGTGTTGCTCCAACACTGTGGTTTGTTTTGCGTACGTTTCTCGTGATAGATGGCCAAAACACGCGTGATCAGATAACGAGTGATAGAAGGTCGAAACGCGCGTAATAATGTTGCGTTTTGTGCATTCCATTCATTTTTAGTGGAAGTCCAAATAAAGCTGGCTACATACCTGCCGGGCATGCGTAATAGCAATCTGGAGATTAGGATTACAGGCTCCTCTTGCCGCCCGCAATGACGTTGCGTGCGTTTCTTAAGCCTGCAGAAAAGGCGTTTTGTTTTTGCGTTCATCCAGGTCTCCCTTCGGTCGCGCGTCTTACGCTCCACACCCAGCCATGGGCTTGCCCTCGCTGGCCTAAGAAACACGATAAAATAGCTCCTGTTCTGCAAGTTAGCCTTTCTTTGAAGTGACTTGAGAGCTGACGAAGATTGTCTTAGAGAAATACATGAATCGTGGGATCCCCAAGGTCTCTATCCTCAGAAGGAGCGAGGAAAGGACAGGAGACGTTAGTACGTGAAAGGTGCGCAGCGGAAAACGACGCGTTCTTGTTCGGCTGATTTTCCTCCCCACCCACTCAACCTTTTTTTCCCCTTATCATGTTCCCACCAAGAGCGTTGCCCCTCTTTCAGAATTCGTTTGAAGCCAGCTCCTTCATCCTAGAAAGGGATTAGTTCAACTGCATTTTAATTATACGAATACCTACAGAGTTGTTTTGCTGATATTTTGTAGGTATGGTGTCTCCCTCGTTTGGCGGAACATTTGCAATTCCTGTGAGTGCTGCAGTACAGTCCAAAACATCGAATCACACAGGAGGTAATTCATGAAGCAAGGCTCGGGAACAGCACTGGTTGAGATCTTTCAGTCTGTTGATTGAATTTAATATACGGTATGGCGATTGATGTCGTCGACAAAACTGCGGCACAAGTTTAGATCACACAAGTCAATCTTCACAATTTCACAAGGATCGAAAAAGTACATGCACACAACTTAGGGAAAACACTACATTGGTGTCGTTCAAGGCTCTTGCTGTTGCCCTGAAATCCTAACAGACGAAGGAGCTTTCTCACCTCTACATATGTACTTTTCACACTTAGCAAACTGTCTTCATGGCACGAATCTTACTTCTCCAAACTGTATTTCCAGGTGTCCTCCAATAACTTAATTTTTAAACTCAGAAAGCAAAACTTGCTTTGCCACTTTTCCAGAAATTGGAAAAGTTCATTTTGTGATTAAGTTAGAGAATTACCATTAATTTGCCGCAAAGAATTATTTTGCAAAATGAGTATAAGATTTTCCGAAACTACACGTCCCATTTTATTTCATTGTGGTACAGAACTTTCAAGACGAAATGCGCTTCTCGCGTGTGAATTCTAGTAACTTGCCAACAAATCTTTAACGTTGGAAATCTTTTTTGTACAAATTGCTTTTTTAAAATGATACCTTTTCTACTCGAATGGAATTGTAACTTATCAATAACATAGAAATTTATGGAGTTAATGTCATAATATTTTCTAAGAACTTAATATATTTTTGTACCGTACATATTTTTCGCAAAATGTTGAGAGATGTGTGTATTTTTGGGATATCAATGACTAATAGTTTTATATAATGCCGAATTCGTAATTTATTTGGATTTGACCTATTTTGTAATGCTCCTTGCGAGCAAGAATGACATGTCAGCTTTACGTTGAGTGAAAATTATTTATTTTTCTTAATGTACAGAAATACCGATCCCTTTATCTTATTTCATTGTTTGATAAGTAGGGAAAGAGCCGCCCTTTGACGGCTCAAACCTATTTTTCATGCCTTTCGGGTTTTTTGCCGTCGCGAAGTACTGGGTACAAGGTTGATTTTCGCCTGCGCTGCGCAGACGCTTCGACCTGCGCAGTGAGACCACGAAAGGTTGCTGTGCTGTGTACCAGGTTTTCACTTGCGAGTATAGACAGCGCCTTTTTCGTTTTTGATTGCGACAGTAGTGGAGTTCAACGAATTTTCTTTCCTTTTTTCATTCTTTTGTTTCACACGACGCTCGGCGAAAAAAGTGACATCGAAGACGACCTGAACTGAAAGGAAAATATTTTTTTATGACGTAATTTAAGGTAATATAATACTAATATGCACCAACAAAAACTCCGTGTAATTCTCAATTCGCTGTAAATATACTTTGGTGGAGTGAAATATTTTTATCGCATGGTGTGGAATAAAAAACGAATTTTTCAATCTTTGTCTTCTGTTGTTCTTTTACGATATAATTGCTTCTGTTTTATGATATATAGCCTTCATAACCATAAATGGATTTTTTCTTAAGACACACACGAGAACTTAAATTTAGGGAGAGGCGGGTGCCTCTGACACCTGGTCGAGGATTGGTAGAATGTAGCTAAAACTTTGCAATGATACCAATGGAATAAAAAACGACGAAGCCGCGATCAGGTCTAATTTACTTCTCTCGACCTTTCGCGAGAGATTGACTTGGAGAAAGTTTTTCTATCATGCAGGAGGGCTGTGTATATTACCTTGAATTCCTATTGTCCCAAGTAACAATGAAACGGAACTTAATATTGGGAAAAGGTCTAGACATTTTTTTGCTTTAAGTTACAGTCGCACTCCCACGCGCGACCACATCTCGTAAGTGACCATCTTCCATAATTAACCACCTTTCAAAAACGCAGAAATTTTCCAAGTCAAATCTTTTCAGTTGGAACCTCTTGTAAACGGCCACCCTCGTAAGCGACCACGACCAATTTTTTTAGGATGACGGGTTTGATTTTTTTTTTTTTGAAATACGTATTTATTCGAATAAGCGCCCAACCTCGAATTAGCGCCCACCTCAAATAAGCGCCCATCCTAAAGGCTGAAAAAGATAATAAGCGCCCACCCCCTCCTCCTCCCAATCAAACTCAAATAAGCGCTCACCCTTACCCCACCCACTTGAGTGAATAAATTCTAATAAGAGACTTCCCCGAGGACGGAGTTTTCTTCAGAGTATTTTACAGAAACCTTGCTTTGTTACTTCTTCGCGTTTTGTTATTAGCATTTATTGTTTTGCAAAAAAAACATACTTCACTTGCTGAAAATGGTGAAAATTTAATAAGCGCCCATTCTCAAGGTCCAAAAATTTAATAAGCGCCCAGGGCGGTTAAGCGAATAAATACGGTAATAATTATCGATTTAGTAACTTGGATAGTCACTAAATTAGGTTCACATAAAAGAAAATTCCTAAAAGCACCATCCAATAAAAGATCCTTTGAGATCTGTCACTTCCACCGGCTAAGCGTGTCGCCTTCCACACAACCGTTTTACGGAAATCGGTTCGGATTTTTTGTAATAAATGTACTTTCAATAAAACATTTTCTTAGTTGAAATCTGGAAAATGAATTGGACAAGTGCATTATCCGAGGAGAAATGGAACTGGCCAATATCCTGTCTGAATGACTCAGAAACCCAGGAAAGCCTTAAAATCCAAAAAAATTCCCGGAGGAGCATACCCCCGGGCCCCTCAGCGCTAGCCTGCGAGCAAGCTCTCCTTTCGCCGGCCCCTCGCGGCTTCGCCGTTCGCTCGCGCGTTCTCGCGAGACTCGCTTCACTCGCCCGATAGGAGAGCTTGCTCGCAGGCTACCTCAGCGCCTGTTTAGGAAATTGGTCAGTATTTATCCTAGACCTGCGCCTGCGCACCATATCGTTTGTGCTTTTGGAGAAGAACTGACTGATCAACAGAATCGAAGCTTTAGCAAAGTGAAGGTGGGATAACATCTGATTGAATATTTTTGTCTTGGCTTTGACCAGCAAGATTAAAAACAGATAACAGCTGTGTAGTGCAGGAGCGATTTCGTAAAAAGCCATGCTGGAGTGAACATATGAATTGTTTGACATGATTGTATTAGAGCGTTCTAAGACTTTGCAAACAACACATAACAAGGAAAACTGTATGATTTTCAGCCGGTTCTCCGGGGGGTACTCCTGGGAATTCTTGGTGGGGGTATGCCGCACGGTTCTCCAAATCCTGACCCTTTTACAGACCAAAAAATGTCGAGTCGATATTCACACCCGTTTTCAGACTACCTCTAAAATCCATACCCGTTTCCAGACTTGGCCTTTAGGCAGTAGTTATGTCATGATTACTTATAATAGAGCGCAAACAAAAAATTTCTTCAAATGCATTTCGAATTTGTATATTTCTATTTCGTTCTTATTCATTTGGAATTGAAACGATAACTACGTTCATACCGGCTCCCGTAGTTCGTTCGAAAACTCTACCCGATTCCACACCCCTGGGCAAAGTCTATACCCGTTTACAGACCCAAGCGGCGCAAAAACCCCACCCTTTGGGGCGGCACATACCAACATGGCTTGGTATATAAAGGAGTTCCCAACCCCTCCCCCATCTCCCCCACCCCCTCCGCCGGGCCGGTTCCATAGTCTTTTTCATGCACTGGTGTGATATTGACTTTTTGATTAATATTTCTTTTAGGCATTAATTACCTCTCATTACAAGTTCTACTTTACACGAAATTTTTCACGTCTTTCGTTTTACATTTTTATCGTTTTCTGCGAAAGCCTTGCGTATTATTTTATATTTTTGGGTCTCTTTCAATGGGCTCCTGAACAGGTAAACATAAAACGGCCTTCGAGTCCACTCCCTCGCGGTTTTGTGTACTACAACAAGACTGTCTTTCACTATCTATGGCTCTGTACAATGACTTGATGAATGTTATAAAGGATGAGTCTTTGGTGGCTTTGTCCTGCCATCATACTTATCCAAAGCTTTATATTATGTGATTCTAATACGTGCTCAAAGAATGTGGACTGTATTAACGGCATTTGCAAGAGTGGACAATGTGATTGTGTCGGGAATTATTGGTGGGGCGATTTTTGCCAGTATTGCCGAGAACGGTGAGAAGTGTTTGTTTTGATCGTGACTCGCATGAATGAAAGTTATTTTTACAACTTTCATTAAGCTTATATCATGTTCTTCTTATAAGTAACCCGTACTGAAGATCTTAAGTACCCTAAACATCGTAATAACTTTATAAATTTATTCGAAAATCATCCAAATGTGTACGTGCTCATCTGTTCAGGTTGGCTTTTATATTATTATTGAAGCTTGTCCATCAAACAAGTTTTAATAGCAACTTGAGCTTTGTGGATGTATTCATGGCGTAGTTGTCGGGTTTTTGTTGTAATAATATTTTGTTTAACCTCGCACGATCTTTGGTCTTCAGGTCTAATAAAGGATTTTAAAGAATCTATTTCTTACTTACTTTTTAATCTGATAAGGAAAAAAATTGCCTTGATTTTTGTGATACATGATGCACGTGAAATTATTTTCTAAATTAGCAATTCCTTTTAATTATTTGACAGCTGTTTGTAATAGTTTTCAACAGGCCTCTTGCACTTCTGTGTCTTTTGATCCAGAGAGACTTAATAAAACAAGGATTTAAAAATACTGACGATATAAAGGAGAAACAATAGAGTATGCGATAGTTGTGTTAGGTGCCAAATTGATAGCCCCTGATCATCAAGGGTAGATATTTTATAGCTATAAAGCTGCCATGATGGAAAGCATAACTTTCCACCCCAACATCTTCAACCCGGGATTCCATATATGATATTAGGGACCTTAAGCAAGGACGATGACGACAGCAGTAAAAACGTCGGTAAAAAAATGAATTTGCGTTCTTTGAAACTTAATCGCGTCTATTTGGACCCGCTCAAAATGTCAAATGTAGGCGACGATTCCAGGAGTTGAATTCTTAAGGATTTTATTCAGGTTCAAAAAGAGGTTGGACAATTCGTCATCGTATGTCCACGTCCTCCATAAAACATCAAATAAGGAGGTTTCACGTCGTAGTCGTGTAGTGGAGGTCAAAGAAATGTACTAAAAAGCGTGATGCACATGCAGAGCTGTTGTTTTGATCATTAAACCTATTGTTTTTTTGAAGTCGTCAATGTGGTCATCATCGTAGTTGCTTAAGCTCCCTATAACTGCTATGATAGCTAAAAAAGAGCATGATTAAACTAGCTATAAAACAGTTGTAGTTATCATACAGAAAAAATGGTTGGCAGACATACAAGATCTGGATTTGGAGAACTGGGCCACACAGCCCCAAAAAGAATTTCCAGGGGTACCCCTGCCCCCTCCCCCTCGGGCAATCAAAATGCCAGCCGAATGGTCATAATAGATTTTGAGGGGTATGCGGCATCTTTCAAGTCTACATAGGGTTTAACCTCCACCAAGCAGCCTCCTATTAAGGTGGCTGAACACAGTTTTAGCAGTTCGTGATTATATGTCATTTGCCAAATCATGCAAGAGAAAGGTTGCTGCTCACAAGCTGAAGCTTGGCGAGTGATTGCCAACATGATTGATTGAATACAACCTTAAAATTTCACTGTTTCTCAGTTTACATAATATTCGCTCATAACGGATTTTCCTATAAACTCGCACACAGCTTACTATAATTAATCATTACTATTTGAAACTTATTTGACCAAATTGTAACAGACGGGTTTTTCGATAATCAATGGTTTAATTGTACTGTAATTATTAAACGTGTCACAAATCTTCCATTTTAAAGTTCTCATTACTTAAGATACAATGAAAGGAAAAATTCTCCAAAATATCTCAAAATTCTAATGAGTAGATGTTGAGAAATTGTCTTTTGCTTTTTTGCTGCCATGTTTGTTTGTGTAATTTAAACACGTGCTGTCACACAAGTCACTGCTGACCGTCTGCAAAACTGTGTTCAGCCATCTTAAGTGGTCACCTTGTTTTGTTTCCCTTCATATTTAAACTTGTATGAGAGGCCAGTCTACTGACTTCTGTGTGCGTATCCTTGTTGTGCAGACGCACATATGCAGAAACAAATGAACGGAAGATAACTGAAGGAAAGCAGAAATCTTTACCATCCAAATGTGCCTGGCTTATTGAGTTAAATACGTAAGTGTTACAATTAAGCAATAGACCACACTTTCTATGGGTTTACTGGCATGATAACCCACGTGGGATGTTGGGAGAACATGAGAAAAGTTCGGCTCATGATTTACAAGCTTTTCGAGTGTTCTCCCTGACCCAACATCCAAGTGGGTTTATCATGCCAGTAAACCCATAGAAAGTGTGGTTTAATGCTTTTATAAAATAACTTTAAAGCATGTTCCAGTTTTCTATGAGTTTACCAGCACAATAAATCATAGGTTTTTAACTAGTCAGAACGCACATACCATATATCTTAGTTATTTTATAAAGATGAATATAACACTAACCTTTATATACAATGAAAGTTATTTGAAATTTACATTGAGTATAGATTTGGACAAGTTTTATTTGTACCATGCCAATTGATGTGTATGCACGCCTATTGGCAGAGTGCTCAATAAAAGGGCTAGAGCGTTATAATCAAGGAGATCTGACATCAATGTAGAAATCCTACCAGGCGTTTTATTACTTGTTATTTTCGTACTGCACGGATCTTATGTTCATATCAGATCACCTAGATTACACTACAATTGTAGGTACATGAAGTAACAGTCTACCAGTAAGACTAGTATTAAATAACCATAGGTTATGGAATGTGGGCGGCAATGGCCAAACATCAAAATGCTCTTGCTCCCACGCTGTGAATATGTAAGTTTCATGCAACACACAGGTTTCAAAACACAATTTTAAATGGTGCAATTACCAGCCATATGGGTAACCCATTGACTGGGAGTCAGTGTTTGTCCACCCTCCTATAGATTGTCGCTATCAGTACCACTGGAATGTGTGGTGAACAGTGTGGAAATTATGCAGGCTGATAAACAAAATTTATTGGATGAGGTTTTTGTGATATCCAGAATAAAACTAATCTTGACCTCGGGTACTTCAGATATTGCAAAAACGGAATCTACATTTAAATTGGAACACAGTTTAATGACATTGCTCTATGTATTTGCTAGGCAGATAACTACTCTTTAGGTAATTGTGCTGATTTCCAAAATTAACTGCGGGCAGTCTTACTATGTAGCTTGTGAGAAGACAGATAGTGAGAACAGTATAGTAATAATGTTTAATTAAAGGGATGACGAGAATAAATACCATAATTTCCTATAAAGTTTACTGAGGCTTTTCCTTTTATCTTTTTCAGACCTAGAAATAACAGATCTATTATAGTGAATGTAAATGAATTTAATGGTGCTAGCTGTGGTAACAGACGGTTGAATATTTATGATGGAAGTTCAGTTCATTCCCCACTCCTAGCAGTTGTCAGGTAGGATTATTTGACCATCAATAGTGCTCTTCAACTTGCAAGTTTGTTCCTTAGTAATAGTCATCGGCCTAATCAGATAAATGCGAGTGATGGGGATCTGCTGGCATTTCATATTGATCATTGGAAATAATGCGATTGACCCTCTTGATCGAAACTAATTTTAAACTAATTTTTATAACAATTCCTTTCTTGTGCAAGTCAAAGTACATGTTGTACAAATTTTTCATTTTTTCTTTACTTTGGACCACTATAAAAAGCTCCGAATTTTCTCTGTGCCTTAATTTGGGTGATCAAATGTTCTTTGATCTTTAATAATTATTAGACCATTAAAAAGGCAACACATTAGACTCCATTTTTTTTGTTTGCTGACAAGAAACTTAATTTTTTTTCCCACGATAATCAATGGAACATTTTTCATAATTGATTATCGCATTGCCTAAAGATTTCGATCGATGATCAAATATTGTAATCAATGATTGGCATACCACTAGATAGTGTCCTCCTTTATCTGCATAATTCTTCAGATTACACTCAGCCTCGTCCAATAATCGCTAATTATCATTTTAGTGACATTATTTCCACTGCAACAAGAGCAAACTGGGAATTACCGCTGCTTCAGCTAAGAGCAAAATCTGGGTCAGCATTCATCGTGCTTGCAGGAAAAGACGAAAGGTCCCATAGTGGAGACTGTTGGTTAAATATCACTTACAGGTACATATGAAGGGTTAGTTGGAAGAAAACTCTCAGTGGCTAATTCTGATAAACAGCAAGATTCTCCTTCCAAAACAAACTTCCACATTTAGCTTTTCAATTCCCTGTCTAATAATATATAGATTTAGCCAGGGCTAAAAGCGAAGCTCCCATTAATAAATTTATATTTTAAATCAAACAATAAACTTGTAATCCACAAATCAGTTAACTTAAGGGCACATTCATGTGACTTTTGAGGGAAAGGATAATTCAAAGTAGACAGACTGCAAATAATCTTAGTTGATAAAAAATATATATCTACAGTAGGTTGCCTAAAATGTGTGCAATTCCACAATTGGTTTCGGCTCCATTAGAGTGAAACATCTTACATCGAGTTGATAGCCTAAATATATGTACACCCAAAAAATAGCAAACATCTTCTATCACATTCAACAGCCATAATGGCTCTTGATCACAGTAGATTAGGCCTCGAAAACAAATTCTTGGAAAACAAATGAGGCCGCATTTTTTTGCTTTCGACAGGTTTACTTTACAAATTCTTGCCAACAAATCTCAGGCTGTGTAAACCAGCTTTTTATACTTTTTATACATCACATCTGAGGTGAAACAGTACTTTTTATCATACAGACCTCGGACAGAATATGGCATTTCACAATTTTTCAATATTCACTGATGATCAATCGTGGGCTTTTAGCGAAACCGTTCAAAAAATTTCTAAAATCACTCATATGGCCAGCCGGTTCTCATATTTAGTGCGAGCTGTCAGTGCGATCGAGTGTTTGAATGAACTTTAATGGAGATACGCTTCAACATAAATATAACGAATTTAATATCATTATTTTTTGTTGTTTAATGGTTCCAGTTATAACGATGTGTAATCTTATAAAGCGTTTGATACGCGCGATGTTCATGAACGATGAAAACAAACACCACGGACAAGCGATTAAAATTGCAAGAGAGACTACTAACAATCAATAAAAGAAATATAATTCGGTAAAACATTTACAGAGACAACAATTTTCATTCACGAAGACAAGTATTAAAGTGTCTCTAAAAATCCTGAGTCTTAAAGCTTAAAGCTTAAGCTTAAGTTTAGTTTGTTTTACTTTCAGCCGGCCTCCCGGTGTTTGTTTTTTTTTTCACAGATGAACTCCTCGAAACAAGAAAATCACTCGAAGTTTTCTTTCTACAGCCAAATTTATAACTAAATATTCTTTGGAACGTTTTTTTTTTTCTAAATGCTGTGAGAAAATATATCTGAAGGCCTTTTAAAGTTCTGTAAGCTTATATCAAACCAGATACTAGATCAGATCATTGACTCAAATCTCAACAAACGTGCAAAAACTTGCCGCATAAACTGTGCTCGACTTCATGAAATTAGATATAACAAAAACAAACATTAAATACAATAATTACTCAGGCTTACCATTCGAGATTCAGTTCCTGAAAGATGTCATGGAAGGCCATAGTTGCTTGAGACTTTTAAACCCTCTTACGCATTGAGCAAAGTGAAAGACGAAAACGATGCCATCCGAAATCGGATTACCCAATTTTGACAAGCGACGCATTTCTCAACCAAAAACCAAGAAACAAACAAGCCATGGATAACAGAAGACTCTTGATAGCAGCTGTATTTCATTTTGTACATCCGGTGGAAAAAGACAGTTAAAAACATCACAAGTTGACTCAAAACTTTGTCAGCTTTTGCTGTCAAAGTAAACAACTTTCAAGATGCTGCATAAGTTTTCCGCATGACTCACCTGTCAAATTTTGACCAATCAGAGTACAAAAATTGGACGTAGAGCGTGACCAACGCGTGACCATGGCAAGAAAAGTCTTCCCCGCCTTTATTTTTAAAAAAACGGCTGAATTTTCGCGTCCGAGGTCAGTTTGAAATCAAAAACTTGACAGTGCGGGGCCATAGTGACATAAACACAACATATTTCATATGAATCATTGGAAAAAATAGACTTGAGCCTGCGATCATTTGAAACTGGTAATTTGTCAGCGGATAACTTCAAAAAAGTACTCGACCTCGATGGGTTGACGCTGGAGCACACGGTACGGTCAGGTGATACTGGTCAGCTGATATCCTGTTTTGACAGCTGTCAATTGATCACAACATTGACGTGCAATTACTTTTCTATTGGGCTCCCAAACTAGCTAGAAAGTGTGAGAGTAAAAATTGGTTTCCCTGTGGTGCGGACGGATGGTCGTACGGTCACGTGATTACCAAATTTTCTCAGATGGGTAGATTACCACATTTCCTTAGCTATGGGGCTCCGTCCACGCGCGCGCGAAGCGCGCGCGTGGAGCTCCGCTAATAATAATAATAATAATAATCATCATAATAATAATAATAGTCTTTTTATTTAATTCATAAGATAAAAACTACATATATGTTACAAAACTTCCAATTTTGAACTAAGTTACATTGTAATAATTACAGGGCTATTGAATTATATTTAAATAACAAATAGAGTATATTACATGGCTACGTGGAGATACGAAATTTCTCTCAGAGTATTGAAAAATATTTCACAAGTGTGTGCAGCAAAGGAGTGAAATATTTTCAACACTCGAAGAGAAATGTCGTATCTCCAAGCGGCCATGTAAAAATTATGTTCTAGTTATTGTATAAACATGAATGGAATATCAAACCATTTTACTTAAACAGTAAACTGTTTTTTTCCTGCAAAGGGCACGATTTATTATGTAGCCATAGCAACGGTGATCTTTTCACATATGAAAATAACATGTTATTTGCACGTGCAAAGATATCATGTTTTCATGCGAAAGCTCACCTGGTATTTCATTGGTGTTTATACAATAATAAAAAATCTAAAAGTTATTAACTCATTTATAAAATACCAATAATATATTGCATAATACCCTGAGCAACTTTGCAAGTGCTCTGCTTTATGTGTACCTTTGATGTTTTAGTTTTGAAGAAGAGTGCTCAACAAAATGCCACAGTTATGGTGTGTGTGCCAAAAGGTCCAGTCAAACTTGTAAATGTGATCCTGGTTGGATGTCCAGTAACTGCAGTTTACCAACATGTCCTGTTCCATGCAATGATGGCTCATGTGATGTGAAGACTAGGAAGTGCAACTGTACTTATGGATTTACAGGTACATAGATCTCTGTGATTTGGTGGTAATATTAACTTTTATAAACTTCTAATTAATGTTGTGAAATAGAATTAATATGCATGTGCATGAATTAATTCAATATTTCAAGCAATATTGGTATTTAGTATATACACACTCAGTGATCTTGGTGATTTAAGCAATCTGATTGGTTCGCTATCTCGGACTATTCAACAATATTCACCTCCTAGCGAGTGGATAATGTGTGAGCTCGGTGTTTTTCCCGTTTTTTTTAGAGAACGATCTTTTAAAAGTCGACAAAATCCTAGGGCTGACTTTTTTTAAGGCAAGAAAAGACTTGGAAGGATTCAATACGGCGTTTTTCAATTTACTGTAGCAGGAGTTTTGTGCTCGATGGATTGTTTACAACTCCCGTGTATTCGCGTAGAAGAAGCCGTTTCGTGAACTCAGCGTTTTCTAAGAAGAAAATTTTGGCTCAAAAATCGAAGTTTATTTATGACAAACAAATTTAAAAGGAAATGTTTGCAGAAATTCTACATTTCAAGTAAACAGGAAAAAGAATGATACAGGAAGACGACCTCTTACCTCGAGCAACCGAGCCGCCATTTTTGTCAGCACTTCATGCGAAGAACGACACAACATGCCCTTTTGGCTATAAACTTGGCGAGTCAACAGAAAACAACACAGCTCTACTTTTTTTCTCAGGTAAGGAAACAGTTCAAACTTTTAGCGATTCCATTGAAGCCATTACGCTGTTGTTTGCGAAATGAGTAACCTTGTGAATTGCCATGTTTGAAAATTCTGCAAAGATCTATTTTTAAACTTACGCGTGATTTGATCTGTCAATCAAATCCTACTTTTGAATGGTTTTCTTTCTGATTTTGTTGAGATCACTTCGTGTGTATATACTAAAACAATTATTCTTCTCAATCTCGGTGAATAGTGGCTTTGGGAATATTTACCTCGCCGCTTTCGCGGCTCGGTAAATATTTTGCCACTATTCACCTCGATTTCAAAGAATAATTGTTAAGTGTAATTGAATGTTAGGGAATTATTTCATACACTTTTTGTCTAAATTGTATATTATTTACCGGGTCTTGCCTTATATCGTGAGCATACCTTTTGATTACCCATGAATATTATCGATTAACCATTATAATTTATTGGTGACAAATATTATACTCACAAGACTAGAGGTTTCCAAACCTGGACGCCATTTTGGCACAGTAGGATTTTAAAGTTGCCATATATGAACATTGTAATTTGACATGACTGTGAAATTATATTAACACTGAAATCTCGCACCAGAATTAAGGATTGGTGTGTCACCCATGATATTATGTATCATAATCTATCCCCTCAATTTGCAAGCACAAGTGTGTAAAATTTCAGTATTTCCTCATTTACACCTCTGAGCAAAACATGTTCAATTAAACCAGGTTACATAAAATGAGAAACAGTGACAGGGAATACTGAAAGACTGGCTTTAACATCAGATTCAAGTACCTTAACTTGACTTTGACGATTCTGCTTGTGGAAAATGAAAGAAAGAAGTCTATGTCCCAAAAAAATGCAGTACCTTTCAGTGGACTGCAAGCAAAAAATTTGCTAACCAGTAAAAATCATTTAAAATTAAAGCACTGAATAAATGAATTTCAAAGTTATTCTTCAGAGTACACATTTCTTTCTATAAAAATGTGTAAGAACCTGTTCCAAACTATAGGCAGTAAACAGGTTTTTGTATAACGGGGGTGTAACTGACAAATTTTAGCCTGACAGGTTAATTGCAGGGTAGTACTGTAGCTGGTAGTGCTAGTTCTCTTGGAGTGTATGCAGTATTGTTTTATGGACTTGATGACATTGTATTTCAGGGGAATCTTGTAATATAAATGACAACAGAAGTCATTGGAGCTCACCAGTAGCAAACAACCAAGGTATTTGCTCGTGATAAAGTCATCTTTAGAGCTGCTATCATTAAAACCAAATACAAATTAGTGAACATTCTAAATATACATTATTAAAATTTTTACAGCATACGTGTAGGAATATGCGCTTCGTTCTCTTGAAAAATCGTGGAAAGAAATGCAGAGTCAAGAATATGGTCGTGTCATTTTTCGAGAGCAGGAAGTATAATGAGTGGTGGACAAAACACTAAGCTCCCCTTCAAGTACTTTGACTACCCTGTTAGACTACTTAAACTGACTGTAGTTCTTAAGGTGCGTGAAGTAGCTAACCAGTAAAATTATTTCAGAGGTATAGTCCTTATGGGTGGCCCATTGGGGTAAGTCTATGGACAAGGGACCACCACCATTTTCCATCTCCCTTTTTATCTCAAGACTTTCTAGATGGTGTTTCATCCCATGCAATGGCAAACATTGGAAATTATATATGGCTGTATGGTGGATTGACTTTTTCCAAAGGACCGTTAGATACCCTAGCGAGGTACATGTACTGTCATATTACACTGGTAAAACCATTACCAGAAAATAATTAAGAGGAAACAATATGCAATGCAATGCAATGTCATTTATTTTGCAATGTTGCCCACTCTGAAATTTTTGCAGGGAAAAATTTCTCTTGTTAGATGTCTTGCGACCTCAAAGTAACCAATGAGAATGCACACTGTTGAGGGTTTTTTTCCAGCCATATGAAAATATTAATTTTTATGTTTTGTTCTCTTGGGCTGAGTTGTTCAAAAGTGGAATAATGCTATCCACTGGATAAATCTTTATGCAGTGGATAGCGCCAGGGTCCGAAATTAACTTTTTCATATGGGCGCCAACTGGTGAGCAAGTATAAATTTTCGGTCGCCAGGGGGCAAATTATGATCGCCAAAAATTCCCCTTGGCGGCTTGGAAACGTTCAACTCGTATTGATCGTAGCTGTTGTGGAGGTATATTTACAGGAAGATTTGTTTCACTTTTAAATTAAAAAAATATTTGCAGGACGAAAAGTAAGACACCTGTTGGCAAATAGCTTCGAGGTTTCAATTCTTAATCATTTTCTTCAAACATGAAAGTCTACAATGACAACCAGCTTTACCAGTCGCCAGCTGGTGAACAACTACGAGATTCTGGTCACCAGAACTGAATTTTTGGTCGCACTGGCGACCAGGAAGGCGCAATTTCGGACCCTGAGCGCATCAATTGGTTTCACTAATACTTATTTGCTGGATAGCGCTATCCTCCGTTTGAACAACCAGGGCCTGGTGCTGTAGCACTGAACTGTCAATTCTTCATCTTTACTGCATTCAGTCTCATGATATCAAATGACCTTGTTTTTTAATTAAGGTACAACATTAAGGAAAACTCCTGGGAGATTATTCAAGCTTCCAGTCAGCTAAATAAAGGACCATCAGCACGATATGACCATTCAATGGTGGCATTTAATGTAAGTGTAATACAGTTGACTCCCAATAATTTGAACCTTTAAGGGAAAGAGAAAATAGTTCGAGTTACTGGGAGTTCGAGTTATCGACGGTAAAATTATATAGGAAGCGATCTGAGGGGGAATGTAAATTGCTTCAAGTTGGCGGGAGGTTCGAGTTACCAGGATTCGACTGTACTTCAGATTCCTTACTTGTTATAAGTTATGGCAATTAAGGTGTCTGATCCGTGGTCGGACAAAGAAATTATGTGCTTTTAAAAACTTAAGCAAAATACTTCAAAGCTAATATAACTAAAGGTACTTTCAGCATTGAAAGTTTAAGATATTTCCAAATATGCTGTAAATTTACTAAACTTTTTGAAAGTTTTCTACAAAAGTTCCAGAGTGTAAGTGTTTGAAAACTGAAAGTCACTAGGCGTTATGGTCAGTGCCATTTTTCCAGTATAAGATTACTCGGCCACGGATGTGAAGCGTTTTCAGCTAAATGAATCTCAGTATTCTAGGAGAAAGGAAAAGATATTCATGGCTCATAACGGACACCTCTATGAGATGGAGATCTTGCTAAAATGGCGCCAAGAGTTGGTCCCTGCCTTTCTTTACTCCCTTAATTTATTTGACTCTTTATAAGAGGGACACTTAGTGCCAAACCCAAACGTGTCCATCTTAGAGAGAGAGGACTGTATGTATCCTTTCCCGTGACTCCTCTAACTGGAAAATGAAATCCCAGTAAATATAACCGTAAAACAGTCAAAGACGTGTGACTGCGGTGGAGGCAAAAGTGCTGTCCAAATGCCAGGGGCTAGTAGGACAGTACAACTTTTTGGATTAGTGATTGAGTTTCCTCTACCAGATGGATGGTTTGATTTAGAATTTCTTTTCTTAGCTCTGAGAACAGATTTTATTTAGAACAATAAATGTACCTCATTTTAACTATGACATTTCACTGTTACCTTGTGTTTATTGATTATTATTGGTTCACAGAATTCTTTGTTTGTGTTTGGTGGCATTTGCCAAGGCATTGCTTCAAGTGAGACGTGGATGTTTGATACTTTATCAAGAAATTGGTCTCAGCTGGATGTGAGCACCGTGGGTGTGGTGGGACACACGGCCACTGTTGTTGGAAATGAGATGATTGTTCTGTTTGGATATAATCCTGGACAAGGATATGTGAACAAAACTCAGGTTTTCAACTTAGGTAAGTTAGTAGGAGGCTTTTTTCAATTGCAAATCTGTTACCTTTTTCACTACCAGAGAGAATGGGATCAATAGGTTTCTGGGAAACTGCCCACCTACCCCTCCCCTAACCCAACATTTTGCCCCATGCCAAGTGAGACCCAAATGTTAACGTTGAGTCAGGGGAGGGGTAGGTGGGCAGTTTCCCAGAAATCTTAATTGATCCAGAGAATGTTGAGGTCATGTAGTTTGATTCTAATTTTTAAGTCTTTGGATTAAGTCTTATGGTTCGTTTTTGGGTCATATGAAATCTCTGACATCATTTTTTTTCCCGGCTTTTTCATAGTGAAATTTGGAATTTTGTTAAATTTATTTGACTTTGGTCATCACTTGGAGTGAAAGGGTTTAAAAGGCTTTACTCCCTGACCCTTGAGGAGGCAGTGCATTTACAGCAGTTAAAAGGGATAAAATGTAAGATATACAAATGGGCCCGGGGCACCTTTTCTGTCTAAATTGGCATATAAAACGATAAGGGGTATGACCTCGAGGTAGAGCCTCGGACCCGTATAAAACTTTGTTGAGCAACCCAATTGGTGATTTTTCTCTAACTGATAAAGTGGCTTTAAAATTTTCCTATCTTTCCTTTCAACTTCTGTCAGTGACTAAAAAGTGGAGTTCCAAAGATCTTACCACTGGCGGTGCCAGGCCATCATATGGCCACAGCAGTGTGTATGATCCACAAACAGGATGCATATATGTACATGGTGGGTACACAATGTACAACGGAACCTACCATGCACCTTCCAGCGGCACATTCTGTTATCATCCGAAAAATAATAAATGGAGTGCTCTGAATTCCAGTGGTGTTCCGAGGTATCTTCATTCAGCTGTTCTGGTTGGTAGTGCCATGATTGTGTACGGTGGCAGAGGAATCCAGGGGTATTCGCCTCATCCTCTCATGGTGTTTGATATTGGTAAGTATTCAATGTACATGGGGATAGCGCAAGACCTTTCTTTATTCTTTCTTAGTTTAGTGCATACTTAATTTCTTGATTTTCGGCGCAAGAAAATGAAAAGGAGAGGGTACAAAAATCCAAAACAAAACAAAACAAAAACAAACAAACATAAAAGAAAACAAAACAAAACAGTGATTTATCGGGTGGATAGCGCTTAGCCTGCGAACAAGCTCTCCTATTTGGGCAAGCGAAGTGAGCCTCGCGAGAACGCGCGAGGCCTGCCCCTTGCGGCTTCGCCGCTTGCTCGCGCGTTCTTGCGAGACTCGCTTCACTCGCCCAAATAGGAGAGCTTGCTCGCGAGCTAGATAGCCGTATCCAATGTCTGTCTTTATATGGCCTGTATTATGGTTATAGTAGGACCCATGTACCAAAGTGTATGTAGCCTACGATGGTACTCAATGTTTGCGAGAGTTTTTGGGTTGTATATAAAAAACGTTACTACAAAATTAAATTTCTTCTTATTTAGTCGTGTTCATCGGAAGAATTCCACTTTTGTGAAAAGGGTTTTTGAAGATTAACACAATGGCAAATCTGTGGAATTAAATACCGCTTTGTTCAGTTTAGTTTTGAATCACAAAAACGGATGTAATACAGCTTCAAATCTTTCACGAAATTAAGTACGAAAAAAGAATTAGTTAGGTCAAATAAAGTAGCTTGCGAAGAGTAGGGTAGCAAGGCTCTCGAGAGTTTCATTCTACTTGCCTTGTTTTTCGTTGCGCAATAGTTAAGTCATTTCTTCCTATTTTGAGCAAAAAAATTCTGTTAACTTAATATTTCAGGTTCTTCGAATGAAGCCGTTCGCTTTGTGGCTTCATTCAACAATTCAGCTCTAAGTAGTCACCTTTCAGCGTTGTCTCATAGCAGAACCTTTTTGCTATAGTGACTAGTGACATCACGTCGAGCTTCTAGAGCTGTTAGACCAAAAATATAGCTTCCTTTATTGCCTAGCCCTTTCCTTTTCTTGTATCACACAGGGTTCGTACAGAGTCTTGAATACTTGAAAAAGTCTTGAAATTTGTCCAGCTATTTTCCAGACCTGGAAAAAGTCTGGAAAATAGAGATGAAGCCTGGAAAAATCGATAGAAAGTCGAGTTTTTTTCTTCAAAGCTGCAACAAGTGCTTAATCAGTGAAGTTTTTCTCGTTTTTGTCAAATCTTATTCAACCTCGCCCGTATGTTTGCAGCGCACGACGAAAAAAGTTTTGTTCCTGCTTTTGTAAGGTCTCTATTGATCATCTATTTGATAACCTTGAGTTAGGAAAAAGAAATTATTGTTTTGAAAAAAGGTCTGGAAAAAGTCTTGAATTTTGGGTCCAAAAAACTGTGCGAACCCTGGTCATAGTTCTTTTGTCTTCCAAGTTGTGTAATCAACGAGTGACTCTTGTTAACACACTCATTCCTTTGTTCTGGAAATAGAATTATTCCTCTCTTTTCCAAGTATGACACAATTTTTGACTGTTCCTAGAAAAAAGAATATGGAATCTTCCCAGTGACTCTGTTCTTCCTGAGACCGTGTCCCGGTATGGCCATTCGGCCGTGGAGGTTAACAGGTCAGAAACTATAGCTGTCGTACAGAATTTTACATTAGGGCCATTTATACAAGGAAAACTAAGACGCGTCTTACGTGAGACGAGTCCTAAATAAGGCGCAAACAACAGGTAAGGGCTCTTCTTAGACAAGACTCGTCTTACCTAAGTGGCGTTCTTATTTCAGACGAAATGGGACGTTTTATACGGTACAGTTTGCGTCTTGTTCAGAACGCGTCCCATTATTCCTCATATAAATGACACCATCGTGTTGATACATTCTCTATTTAATTCGTCAGTAATGTTGCCAGTGACTGACATAATTATGATTTTTGCATGCATACAACTCAAATAGCTTGCTAATGAGCTGTTAATACACTGAGATACAATCAACTCTCTCTTAAACGGACAGCTTTGGGACCAGAACTAAGTGTCCGTCACAAAGTAATATCCCTCTTACAAAGAGTCAAATAAAGGGAGTAGAGAAAGGCAGGGACCAACTCTAGCTGTCCGTTATAGCGAGTTGTTCGTCTTATAAAGGTGTCCTTTACGAGAGAGTCTTGTGTATTTGCAAGAGCAACACATATTTCTAGTCTCTTCCCTTAGAATTAAATGACTGTCCACTGATTTTCTTTCCAGTACAATGTATGCCTTTGGTGGGTTTCGAGGAAGTATGATGAATTCTTTTCTTGAGTATTCTCTTGGTAAGTTTTTTTTTTTTCACGTTTGTTAGTTGAGTTGTTTAAATGATTTAAATCCCGCTTTTATCATAACTATAACAAAATTTTCAAATCTGATTGGCTATCAACTGTTCTGATTTCAGCACTAATAGGATAGTGTAATACGACAGTGCGCGTCATGCCTATGTAATTGGACAGAACGCGCCATCGCGTGCGCGCACTTAGATACTTATTTGTTTCTTCAGGAGAGTGCTTCACACCAGGATCTTCACTCAACTGCTTCAAGCCATTACCCTCAGTGATTTCATCAGCAGGTAGCTTTTGTTCCTATTTGACTATATTTCAGTAAATAAAATGAAGAACAATCCCTTCCTACCAATTTGCCCAAGGTTCGAATTTCGAAGGCGACGCCGTTCTTGGGTTGAGTGTGTTCTTAGGTTCTTGGCCTTGCATCGAGAGGTTTTTCCCTGGATTCACCTGTTTTTCCCTTCGTCAAAAACCCGTCACTTCCAAGTTTTAATTCTGTCCAGAAGAACCATAAATTATGAATGTATTACGACAAAGTCGTTTTTTATTTAATTAAGTTAGTTATTAACTTGGTCAAACATTGTTGACATCTTCCGAACCAAAAGAATGGTTTAGCTTCCTCTAAAATAGAACTGTTGTAAGAGAAATTTTTACCTTCAAAGCCAAAAGCATGGGCCAGGGCAAAATAATTACGAGTCCCAGTCATGATGGAAACCAATCACTTGTTGGAAAAGCACTGATTCATTGGGAAACAGCCTGAATTTTAGACGTCCCTTCGATTCGCATACTCCTGACGAGTATCCCTTCGACGCAAACTTCAAGTCGCATATATACTCTCGCTTATCACGTCGCTGGAAGCAAGAGACTATAAAGGGGACAGAGAGGGCATCCCCCATATACACCCTATTCCATAGGTAATTCGTCTCGAGTTGTTTTTAGAAACGGGATAAAGTTACCTCGCGCGAGGCGTGGATGTTTCGTGGAGGTTTCGCATGACTAAACGCCGTGCAAAACATGTCGGGCGAAAGGCAATGAAAGCGTAAAAAGATCGACAGCATTCCTGAATATTGAAGCGAAATGAGTCGGCGCTCACCTGGGAAAAAGGAATCGCTGGACTCTTTGATAACCCGTGAAATCATTTTAACTCGAAGTTGTCGTAACCTCAGTGCTTTAATAAAATGAGAAATTTCTCCGGTCTATTGAAACCGGTCGTTTGTACGATAAAGCAAGTAGGACGCCAAGTGTTATTTTTGTTGAATAATAAAAGACTAATAAAGGAATAAATATCAAACCAGAAATTGCTCTCTTCAAATTGTAAATTATAAATGATCCTGAGAGAATATTCAGTGTGTTAAGGATTTCCCTGCTGTACTGTTAGCTCTATACAAGAGAGGAAGGGCGATTCTTTTTTAATTTCCGTTTCGCTGACACAGCTTTCGCAGAAATCTCGCTGTAGTCGTTTTCGTCGGCAAAAGGAATAGCAAAATCGCTCTCCGCGTGTTCCCCCATTTTGTTCCGCGTCAATTCGTGGAGGACGCGTGGCTCTAGCGTGGTTCGTTCACGCGGAATACATTCGCGCTATGTGATATGCTGTTGTCCAATCCCCCTTGGGATCTGCGGTTCTAAAAATAACTCGAGACGAATTACCTATGGAATAGGGTGTATATGTGGGATGCCCTCTCTGTCCCCTTTATAGTCTCTTGGCTGGAAGGCATTAGCGGCTCGTTGATTCAGACGTCCCTTTTGGGGGTATGCGACTCGAAGGGACGTCTGAAATTCAGGCTATGGGAAACTGAGCAGAGGCACATATTCCAAAGTTCTATGTTGGGGAAAGGAAACTAAGTGCTTCCTCAATATTAACTGAAACGTTCCAAACCGAAAAAAAAACGAAAGTATAGGACATATTTTGCTTTCTCCTTTAAATACAGCGCCTGTTATTAACAAGAGAGCATAAAAATGAGAAACTCTTCAAGTGATATTTATTTCTTTTCACATGTAGATATTTCTGTATCACGCAACTCTCAAGTTTACAAGTGTCATCTGAGACAGTCTTGTCAAGAGTGTATCAGTGGAGACTCAGATGAAAGCTGTGTTTGGTGTGAGTCAAACAGTCAGTGCGTGTCTAAGGTCTTCTATGATGTCACCTTTCCATATCTACAGTGTTTGCACGCTCTGGAACGCGGAAAAGGCACATGTTCTAGTAAGTTACCCTTTCAAAGTTGCCAAATTTAGCTATTATGAACTGGCCAACAAATGAAGTGAAATGTAAAAATAACTTCTTTAAACAGTGAAAGGACATTTAAGAGGCAGTCTCCCTAAAAGCGGTCCACTCGATTTCGCGACAAAAAATACTTTTCCTTTATTTTTTGTCGGTGAAGAGGCTTTAGTAGGTATATACTAAAATCGCTAGTTATGTTTTCAAATTCTCATTCTTAGCTCTCCTACAAGCCAAAAACGAATTGAGTCCGTCTCGGCTTCTCAGAGAGTCTTTCAAAGACTAAAATTGGTGGATGTTGAAAACCGCGTTGCAAACAAACGAATGCCCGCACAAAAAATCTGTTCAATTCAGTTTGTTTAGTTAACCTTCGATAGTTCACAGGCTAAATAAAAATATCTTTGATCAAAACATGTTCAAGTTACAGTGGTTCAAAGAATACCTATTTTGCAGGCTTAATGCAAACCCTGAAAGTAAGGAAGATTTGAGGGAAAATGTCTCAAAAGTTGCGGCCTAAATCTGGTTTAAAAATCATATCAAAGTATATTATAACATAACAAAAGTAAATCGCGCGCTCTGATTGGTCAGTTAGCCACTACCATTTGCCCGTGGTTGCACGCCAAGAAATTGAGCTTGCGCGGTAAAATTTAGGCAAATTCAACAAATCGCCTCTCCTGACGGTAAAATACACCGAT